TGTTGGAGAGGACAACAGTGGAAGTGTCGGTAGCTTGATCCGACAACGACCATCCCAAAAAACATTTTTGCAGCATTTATTTTATTCGCCAAGTGGGCTCGAACACTCCTAGTAGGGGACTAAGCCTCCTCCGCCAACCCTCTTCAACCCAACACTCTGGTTTAACCACTACTGATTTACCACTTCATTCGGCGGTTATAGTAATAAAATTATAAAAGAAAGAAAAAGGAAAAATAAGGACGTTCGTTAGAAATAAACAATGAAAAAATATTAATTTTGTACTTTCTCTATTTCATACTAACATAATGAAGCTGAAAAACATATGAGAGTTCCATATTTCAGCTTCAAACAGGTTATACTGCCAAGCTGTTTTCAAACAGTCAATTCTTCATCTTTAAAACGGAATACAAACTGCATAGGTTAGTTGTATGTATGATTTGAAAATAAGTCACACTATGTTAAATCAGTGACTTTGTTTGTTTTATATCATTTTTTCCGAATTTTTAATGGACTAATTTTCCTTCTACAGTTTTAATGAAGAGCGGTTCTTCTTCTTCTGTTTCTTTTTTGTTTTCTTACAATATTCTCATGATTATATTCCTATCTTCATGAACAATTTATAAGAACAATGCGACAATCATTTATACACTTTTTTTTATTTTTTTAATGCTTCCAATCTTTTTTCCAAACAAATTAAAAAGAGTATGAACAAGAACACTCTTGACATTACAAAACAAATGTTTGATATCTTTATGATAGATATATAAATTAATGATCATTAGTTTTGTTTTATTTTAAGAATTTATTTCTATTTTGGCGATTTCAAACAATGGCAACTGATGATACAGCTGACACTTTATTTAAATATATTGATACAAATCAGGATGAACGGTAAGAATTAAGAATTAAAATCAAATAATAAATATACATATACATATTTAGTATTCATCCAAGTGAATTTCGTAATTGGTTTTTAAGTAGTGAAGGATTGACTACATCAAATGAATCAATAACTCGTGAACTACATCGTTATGATGATACTACTAATCGGTTTAGTCCATATCGATATACAGATAGTTATCAAGATGACTTAAGATATATGGTTGATAAATATAGTTCATGTGGAACTGGGAGATGGATTGATGATACGGTGATTGATACAAATAGTTCAGAAGAAACCAATTATTATCTGGAAAAATCAGGTACGAATATTTATCATGATCCTAATCCAAGAATTATTCGACGAGCAAGAAGTGCAAGTCCAGTAACACTTGAACAACGAGTTCTTGTTCGATATCTTCAACCACCAGCTGTACCACCACCAGGAGTAATGAAACATATTTTTTACAAATTCAATCTTACTATTCTTTTGATGATTTCAGCCCCTTATTATTAAAGAAGTGCGTCCACCACAACCATCACCACCTCCACCACTTGTCATACGCGAACATCCGCCACCTCTTCCTTCACCACCTCCACTTATCTTACGTGAACGACCACCAACACCACCAAAATATATTCCTAGTGAAACAAGTTAGAAAAAAACAAAAGAAATTTATATTACATAGTTTAGATTTATCAATGTATTTTATTTTACAGTTATTCGTACTTTACCTGCTTTACCGGTTCCACCACGATCAGTTGTCATCGAACGGTTTCCACCTCCTCCAGAAAAACCACGTAAAATAATTATCTTCATTTTTCCTTTTTGTTTTCTTTTTATTCCAGATTGTTGTTTTATTGCTATTGAGGTGATATTATAATTGAACGATGGATTCCCTATGGACCTCAACCTGAACGGCGTACAATTATTGAATATGCTCCTCCTGCTAGAGAATATCAACCACCATCTAATACTACTATTATGTATTCTGCTGCTGAAACACGTGTAGTTCGAAAATTTAACAATCTTGGTGTCACACAAGAAGATCCTGAATCTTATAGATCTCGTTATGGGTCATCACTTTTAGATTCAGTAACACTTGTTCAACAAGCTCGCAACGCCGGTGTTATTGAAGATATAGTAAACTTGTTTTTCGTAAAAAAAATACCTTCAGAAAAAAAACTATATAAATCTTTTATTGTAGTCGCCTCTGGCACGATCATCTTCATTATATACAATTACATGTGGATATCCTGTTTATTTTGATCGTTCGAATGATATAATCTATAAAGATTATTGATGAACAGTTCTAACTGTTATTCAAGAATACCACTAATACATTTAAAACACTATTTGACTGAAATTCATTCTTTTTCTATTTAAATACAGTAGTTTTTTCTTGTAGTTTTATAAGGGAACATATAAACTATATAACCAAAGACAGAGAAATAAAAATAAAATAAAGATTTATCATACACCCCTCCTACCATATATTGGTATAATATAATAATTTATTATTGAAAATGGTGAATATTTCTATGAATATAATAATAATTTTTTGGATATGTTATCTGATAATTTATTTTGTATAACTAATCGATATGTTTTATTGATGCTATTTAATATTAATGTTTGCGTTGTTGGTATAAATACTATTTCACGAGGTTCACAAAGATTTATAGAAAAATCTTCGACTTGATCTAATTTTCCATTATATATAGTACTGTGAAAAATTATAGTATCACTATATTTTTTGAAATTTTTCAATGAAGATGAGTAGGTAAGTTAAATCCAAATAGTGAGCTAGATAGCCCTGGAAATTTTCTATCGAATACAGTATGTACTAAAATTTCAAAAGAAAAATTGTCCATAGAGTTTTCTAGAAAATCGTTCTAGCGACACTTCAAGTCTTAGAAGATTTTGAGAAAAACATTTTTCAAGATAGTCACTTGAAAGAGCAGAAAATTCTGAGCAAAATGAGAGGTCGGCCAGCTCTTCACAATGTTTCATTACAAAAATGTAAGCTTAATAAAAATCCAAAAAACACCTGTTGTTAGTTGATTTTAGCGTTTTCTCGATAAATTATGTAATTTTTTCGGATTTGTCTTAAGCGAAGTCTCTCTCACAAACAAACTTTTTAATTTTTCCATGGAATTCAACCAAAATTTCAGAGAATATTAGGGGTGCGGGTGTGAGGGTGAGTTTTGTGCCATTGTTCACACCCACACCCTACCCGTCACTTGAAAGCAAAACAGAGTAATGTATAAATGTCACATATACTTGATTTTGTCCTTTGAAGGAGGGTATTCTTTCCTCCCATCTATAATTGTAAGCAGGAACCATATAAAAAAATGGCTAAAGGTACTATGATAAACAATTTTGACAACATGATAAAAAACAAATACCGATTGGGTATGTTATCTTCTAATAAAATTTCATGTTGTTGTCAAGGATGTGAATGTGGGTGTGGGTATGAGAAAAGAGAAAACCCTCACCTGCAGTCACACACTTAGCTATATATGTTGATACAGTCAAAGTCACAGTCTGACGCTCTTTCACGCACACCCACATCCAATATGTAATCGACATCGCAAAAGTTCGAAGACATATTTATCACTTTTATCCACTATCACTCATAATCATCAATCTTTCGGTTATCACGTGTAAATCTACCTAATAATTTGGTTTTCAGTCCATTCAAAATTTTCCACAAAGTTCACTTTACTTAATCAGACAGAACACTTCAACCCGGAGAATTCGACGTCCGATCAAAAAATTAATTTTAATAGAAAAATGTGAATGAGTCAAAAAATTAAGTCATTATATTTCGAAGTGTGAAAAGTAATATAATAAAAATTGTTACCAGAGAAAAATTAATAAATTTGGTCATTGTGGTACCCTCGCTTTATTTTTTGAATTATTCTGATTTTGCGTAACATTAACGCTAAAACGCTAGAAGAAGCGAGATCTGAAAAACATAAAATAAATTTATTTGAGTTAAAATTGTATTAAAATATAGAATATATATACAAAAACAAAAATTCACGAAGTATACTTAGACAGTAGCCTTTATCTATTGTACCATTGTACAATTATACAGCATTTCTAATGAGAAGTCATTAGTCGAACGCGTGATGTATAAGCGGACACATGATGTACATGCACGTACATATAACGAAACATGTATCAAACGCACAGTATGTGTCATACACGCACCGAGAGCATACGGGTTGACTTGGAGAACCAATGAAAATTGGCAGATGACATAGAAAAGTTAGTTGATAATGGTGTTAAATACAATATAGAGTACATGAACAGTCAAAAAAGAAAACGAAAAAAATTACATTTCAAGAAATCAAAAACATTTCATCACTTTTGTACATTTTTATGCAAATAGATAATGTGTCTCTAATAGGTATTTATATATGAAAAAACATGTTGGGAAAGATGAATTTATATTTAGACTCGATTCAGTGTAAATACTAAACCTGTTGGAGATATATCAATCATATTTTTCTATTTATAGAAATTATTTGCATTGTTCTCAAAATTAGTACGACCATCTGTTCTTGAATCAACATCCTAGATAGTAGCGTTGTTTTTCATCCACTACCTTCTTTTTTCTTTTCTTTTTTGTCGTTGTTTTTTCTTTGCTTTTCCTCATAATGTGAGTGGATATATGTGTTTGTCATTTTTTTTATCTTTGTTCTCTTGATGAAAAACTAAGAATCAGAAAACAAGTTAGTCGACACAGACTAACACAATAGTAATTTGTAATAGTCATCTAATATGCAACATAAATTATAGTATCAAAGAAGAAAAAAATATTTTGCTACCGCTGTTGTTCTTCTTTTAGAGTATTGGGTGCAGCCAGAATTTTCTACTGTGCATACTATTGAAGTGTGTACGTCATATAAAACGTGGAAGAACGCAAAAGAAAAATATGCAAACAAGACCAAATGTTTGTGCCCTTATAATGAAAAAGTAATATTATGATCGATATATTTGTTATTAAGAGAGACAGCATTACATTGGATTTCGTGAAGAAGAAGCACAAAGATAAGTAATAGAAACTCAATATTAGTGTAAAATTTTCGTTTCAAATCAACAGAACATTATGACAAATCTCACCATTGGTATTTACCCATACTTCTCATATAATCCTGAAGTTCATGTTGCTGCAGTTTTTGCTGGACTGGTATATCTTTCGTTGCTTCTGTGGTTTATTCAATCATTATGGTTTGGTTGTCGGCCAGGTCTTGTAGCTAGTTTAGTATTTTTATCGCATTTTTTCACCTTTAGCGAACTCATTCTACGTGCTACATTAACTCTTGAAGAACGAAACACAAAAAAATTGTATAGAATTACAGCAACACTCTTAACTATAAGCTCTCAAACCTTACTGGCATCAAGTTTTCAATGTTTAGTAGAAATGCGTGGCAATATGAAACGTCGAACAATTGATATAGTTGCAGCAATAATCGTGCCTATTGGTTTGATAGGGTCTGCTGTATTGGTTAGTATTGCAAAAAATTTCTCATTTAATCCTGAACGCCTTCAACTCAGTTTTTACCTACGCCAAATCTCAATCGGAATCTTTATTTTATATGTTATACTTTTCTTTGTTTTTTGGCACTTCAATATAATAAACTTTCGCCGTCCTTATATTAAATCGCTGTTGATTATTACGTCTATTTGTCTTATAATCGACGCTATATATGTGCTTGCTACTGCAATACCTTCGCTTTTCACTTCAGTCAGTGGCAACGAATTTTGGTTCTACGTGGGCCATTTATTACCAATTTTTATTGCTCTTCTCAGCTGGTCACTCCTTTATTGGCGAAAAATACCGCCTCCTTCTGATAAGACTAACGATCATCGCAAGCAGAAAGACAAAGAAACTCTTTTACCAGCTTCTACACGTTAAGTGATCGTTTATTACTATTAATTCTTTGACACTATTTTTCATGCTTGGATATTTATCATTATAGACATTTACATTTATATCTTCTCATATGGCTGTATGAAAGAATAACCTATTCCTATTTCTAGTTTACAAAATAATAGTTCTCAAAGTTCAATATCATTTTATTTGAATATTTGAATCTACAATAATAATTCGACAAGTTTTGCTTTCACACACACATCTGTTTATATTCGAAAGCATAAAAGTAACAAGTCATGCAAAAAAACTTTCTGAAGAGAGGAGTTCGATAGTTTCTAATTTACATTAAATTATTCTGGATGATGGAAAAAAATATGATTTAGAAACGAAGTTTTATCTTCTTTCCAAGTATGAACTCATGTCGATAGCAAATGAAACGGAAAAGAATGGAATACAGAGAAAGTTTGTTGAGATTTTGTCAGGTAGATTCATGAACTGTTACTGACATAAATTTATTGGTGACCATCCATTAACTTTCATTAGATTTTGAATATTATTGAACAAATGGTGATGCATTAGTGGTATTAGACTACGAACATTCATATCGATATTGTTAATGGAAATTAATTGTTAAGTTCAATCTTCTGTTAAAAGGTCTTTTTTTACGAGTAATACTTCTTAAAAAAAAACGCTCATTTATGGTTGCATCGAAGAATACCAAAAAAATAATTCGTTCACAAAATATATTCTTTTCCATTCAGCTCAGTGACTGTTTTGTCTTGCATATTCAGGTTCTTGCATGATAGATCTATCGTTTTATCGTATTAAAGACAAACGAAGAATTCTTGATGCTCCGGCAAGTATTCTATACATTTACTATTTGCATAACAAACGTCTTCAATACAATTTCTGTTGTATTGTAATATATTTCTACGGCTATGATAGGATCTAGAGACTGAAACGATTCAACTCACATTGTTAAAGAGAAAAAGTATATTTTTGTTGGATAAAATCACTTATAAGAGTTCATCATTAAATATCTTTTTATTATAAAACTTATCATAATAATAGCTTCTTATGAGGTTGTAAATAAACAATCATCGAAAATGTGTTGTACTTATCCAACAATATTTAAATCATAGTATACATCTACATTGTTTGATTACATTTTCGCAGCTAACACTTCTATTTACAAGAATTAGGCGCACTTGATTAGAACTGTTGAGCTACTATTTTTTTTTCTTTTGTATTCTTGTAACTTATTTGAGTTAATTTAATTAGTGTCAATCGGTTGCTCTTTTTCTACGAATTTGTGATTCAGAGAAAAGGGTATAGGATGTGGATGTGCTTGAAGAGAAGACCCACACCCACACCGACACTCTCATCGCAAACAAATAATTTCCACCTCAGCTAAAATTTCATTGATCGCCGTCTACATCTTATTCTTATTGCCTTGTAATCAAGATCTGGTTCGAATATGTATTATAACGACTGTTTACTCTGTTCAGATTGGTTTAATTTCGACGATGGCTTCCAACTTTCTTCTGCAATTTACATATATAAAGAAGAAAAATAATACTGATCGTTTGAAATTTTATCTTCATTTATAATTGATCTAATTAAGTTTTGAAAAGAAACTCATAGATCGATTTTTTTCTGTTTCATCGCATCGTATCCAGTATTGGAACGAAATAAACACATCGTCTGATGAGAAAAGATTTTTGTGAGTATCCCATTCATGCGGCGATCTGCTATCTATTGTTATTTCATAAAGAATCATTTTATTGATAGGCACCCTTTATGTTTACAGAAGACCTGCGACATTATTCATCTCCAAATTTCCGATTTAGAGCATATAATGTATCATCTCTTTCCAAAAATGCTTTCATTGATTGTAAATTTTTCTTTGTGAGTATTATTATTTATTAAAAATCTAGATCTACAACTAATAAATATAGTAGCATAAATCAGTCATAATAAGAATTATATTGAAATACGAAAATATATGCAAAAAATTTAATTTGTCTCTTTGTATAATAATCAATAATAAATCAAATAGCGGCAGATATTCGAAATGGCTTGGTTAAAAATTTGCAATAATATTTTCTGTTTGAAAAACGCATTTCTCAGCCATCGTAGCCGCAATCACAACAGGGTGGCTGATCTGGTCTCAAAACAGGGGGGCAGCAAGGAAGGCAACAATCACAATTGCTATTACAGCGCAAACAGTTCCTGTTACATCTTGCAACGTTACTTCCCGAGATGCACTGACCATTCGAACATTTGCAATTGCAGGCTATAGTTCCTCCATCAACAATAGCAAGATTATTTGTGATAACAAGTAATATCATAAATATTAACCAATAATGAAAACGATCCATTTTACTAATATTCAATAATATTCTTCTTGAATTAAAAAAATTCTATGATTATTGTAATACTTATAGGTACATATATAAAAATACTATTCAAAAAAATAAACGCATGACCATCGCAAAAAAAACAATATGTAACGCCAATTTATATTATATATTCATCAAGGTATTATACGCAGTTATATATACCGTCATGTTTTTTTTCTTCTTTTCATTCTTTTTTCTCTTACTTATCATGTGACATGCATCTATACTAGGTGTGCCAAAATGTTTGCAATATTTTTTTGTTTCGCACATGTCTCGGCTTAAATAAATGATAGAACGTTGAATTTTTTAAAAGATGTGTCATAAAAACTTCTACAAAAATGTCTGAATAAATCTTTATTGACTTGTTTTGATGGCTCACTTCATATCTCAAATCAATAACCTACAAGATAGTGCTATTTTCCATCGTATTGAGCATGATAAAAAATGTTTCGAAGATTATTTTGTCCTACAATTGTAGTTTGTTGGCACACATTTTTTAAAGCTTTTCATGGCATATCTTAAGAAAATTCAAGATCTTATTATTTGATTAGGCGAATATATACACAAAACAAAAGCTGCTGCGAACATTTTCACGTAAATAAAGTTAGCAGCGTATTCGAATTTTTTGGCGAAATATTCACCCACAGACTTATTCCCGAAAAGATATTGGTTGTATCAGATAGAGCACCGAATATACTATAGAATATATATCTTTAGAGAAAATTCGATCACGAAAAACGGCTTAAAAACGCGAAAAACAATGCATGGAGCCGATACCGATAAGGACTTTAGATTGATCGGTCTACTGGGAAGGTGTGAGTGTGGGTGTTGGTCTCCTTCTAACCTACACTCACAGTCACAGTCACACCCATACCGACCTACACCCACCAACACCTTCATAGTTTGAGTTTCGAGAATTGGACCAGAATCGAATGTCAGTCTACATGGACTCGAACAGGTAAGTTCAATATTTCAGAAATGTAACTTCAGATTCAGATTTTCGACCATGAACATCTTTCGTCAAACCTTCTAAAAATTGGATCACAATCAATTCGGATCAATAGATAGGTGGGATTGAGTGTACTGCATTCTCACGTACATACTCCCGCACACAAGATGCTTGTTTGACGTAAGTACGTGACGAGTTAACCGACATTATTGTTTAAGATGACTCAGCATTACAATCATAGCAACCGTGAATCACACGAAACAATAGTAACAATGCGATGAGTGTTTTTTTTTCGTTTTGCTTCTTCTTGTTTTTATCGACAAACCGAACATCACACCTCTCTAAGATTGTTGTTTGTTTCTGTTGGAGGTGGATGATGAATTTGCGTCAGCAAAAACAACAATCATCCATAATCATTGCGCCCACACATTTGTTTTGACTACGAGCAATGATAAAATAGAGTGATTACGGTGGTTAAAGTCATATTTTACATTTTGCATCCTTGGTTAAGTTACTGGCAACTAGGAACTCAGCTGATTCGCTTCAAACGAGTTCGGTTTAGTAGATTTCAGACAATCGCGATTTTGAAAACGAGGAATCCGATAGCACAGAATCGATGAGCATCGGTTGTTATTTCAAGCTATAGACTTGACGCAACCGGGGATATAATAGTACCGTTCTCGAGATACACCAGAAACCGATTGAGAGTTATCTTTAAGAGAAGGCTCAGCGGTCTCAAATAAGAATTTCCCTAAGAAAAAGTAGCGTACTAGGCGAACGAATGCAACAAGTTGCACTAAATATGACTGATTTAGTGTTGTCAATTGTAGATATATCAGCGATGTCCAAAATCCATTCGTCGTGTCACTTTCGCACAGGTGAGTGAGCGTGTCTTTTCACCAATACAAATTGTTAACGAACAAATTTCTGTGTTTAGATAAGTTGTGGTTCGATCTGCAATTTTATCAGAACGATTCGCAACAGATTAAACAACTGCACGAGTTGGAAGATCAGCTGCAAAATCCGCCTCAGTCAATCAGTGGCGACATTCTGAATCGCGTTCAAGGATCAATCGTCGGAATGGCTTTGGGCGACGCTCTCGGCGCTCATGTTGAGTTTCGACCGCAAAACTATCTCGTCGAACATCCCGTGAACGATCTAAGCAGCGGAGGAACCTGGGGTCTCAAGAAAGGACAGGTAAATTCTTCCTTAATTTTCTCTATTTCCCTGTAAACACGGCATCATTTTCGCGGATGTGTAAATTCATGCCGAGTGCCATTTTCTCATGAAAACTCTCGCTAATAGCACCGCACTGCATCATCGACAAACAGAGTGTATTGTTTTAGTTTACTGACGACACTTCAATGGCACTTTGTCTCGGAATTTCGTTGGTTTGTCGTGGCGATTTCATTGCCTACGATCAACTCGTTCGCTACAAATGGTGGTATCGGCACGGCTACATGTCTTCAACCGGCAAATGTTTCGATATTGGCGCAGCGACGAGCGACTCGCTGCGTGAATTTGAACGCCGCCAACAATGCTTCGCTGCCGAACACAAAATTCCGCTCGAGCAACTCGATTTTCTCTCCAATGCTTATCTCCTCAAACAGTTCGATGTCAAATGTAGTAGCGTCGGTGTTGCGGGCAATGGTGCTCTGATGCGTTTGGCGCCCGTACCGCTTTTCTTCCACCAAGATCCGATTTCGGCAGTCGAATATTCGGGACAGAGCGGCATCATTACTCACGGAGATCAGAAGGCCTACGACGCATGTCGCTACTACGGTGCGTTGATCGTTGCTGCACTACACGGCGAAACCAAAAAAGATTTACTCGACAAGAGCTTTTATGAGAAGCATAAGCGTTGGCTCGGCCAAGTTTCGCTCGTTCCTGAAATTATGGCAATTGCTGAAGGATCTTTCAAGCGCAAGGGCGGATACAATGAAGGCATTCGAGGCAAAGGATACATCGTCAACACTCTCGAAGCTGCTTTATGGGCGTTTTGGTCCGAAAATACGTTCGAAAAGGGTGCCCTAGCCGCTGTTAATTTGGGTGACGATACCGATACGACGGCCGCCATTTACGGGCAACTGGCCGGCGCCTATTACGGTTACAAGAAGCTTCCTGAGAAATGGTTACAGCATGTCTACGCCCGAAAATTTCTACTCTGCTTGAGTAAATGGGTCGCTTATGAAGGACGCACATGGCAACCAAAATTCTTATCCGTTCTCGAACCACCTACAAAAACTGTCTCATCTGAAGGAATCATTCCCGACACGGCCACTGCTACAGATGAAGACAATCTGAATGGAAAGCATTCAGAACAGCAGATATTTACATCAGCATCACAGCAGAATCTGCTCGAAGAAACCAAACCAAAGCGGCGACCCGATTTGCCTGAAGGAAAACAAGTTTCACCAAAGATCGCTGCACAAACACCAGGACAAAAAACGGGTAAAAATGGAGTTATCAGAGAAAGAATGCCTGAGCGCGGTTGTCAATTCCCACCTCGCTCTACTGCCCGTTCACCAGTTCATCGTTCTGGTTCACGCTCACGATTAATTACGATATTTTCGGCGCGCAAGTCCTCTCAAGAATCTACCCTTCGACTTCGGCCAAAGAGTGATACAACAGCGAATGAACGCAAACAGAAATGAAAACGTTAGGCAATAACCACTGCTACTCTCAACCTTGGACAAGAACACATATTCGGCTTTGAATGATTTTTAAATTCTTCACTCTGGTAAATATAACGACAAATACCCTCTCTTCTCTCAGGTTCATGTCCGGGCGACAACGGATGCGGGTCAAGAAATGACTTTCGCCTATATCCGACCTGCATCCTGGCACTCTCAAATGTGGGCAATATTTTTTTTGAAGCTTTTGAAAAATTTTTCAACTGAATGTTGTCTATGTCAGATAATCGCATCTTATCACTTTTCCTCTTATCTTTGTACAAAAGTTCTTTGTTCATCAATAAAAGTTCGAACTGTAAAAGGAAGAGTATGGGTGTGGATGTAGGTGTGGGATGTGGAGTGTGGGTGTGGGTTTGGGTGCGGGGTTTGTGGTTGTGGGTGTGGTTGTTTATTGTCCACACACATCCATTCACACCCGCACCCTAGTTTGGATTTTGTTTCAAAATTTTGAATCTTATTGGGGTTCAATATGCCACCGTTTTTTTTCAGTGTATGCATATATCAATAACCACAAATGAATAGAATAAAGAAGAATGAAGGAAAAGATACCACCATGGAAACCTGAGGATGATATACATAGCGTCTTTTGAAAACTTTAGAAACTTATTGAAAATCTAGAAGAAACTTAAAGAATTCAAATGAGCCCGATTGAATCCTAGGAAATCCTAGAAAATGCTTGGAATCCAAAAGAATCACATGAAGTCTTCGAAACTCAAAGGAATTCAGTATATCAGGATTCCATTTTTATCTCCCTCAATGAACGTCTATACCGAGTAGCTGTTTTGTTTTCACCTGAAGTATGTTCTCTTTCATAAATATAGAGCTTCTTGGTTATTTTGATCGTTACTTATAAAATGTCTTATATACTCAAATATCAAGATACAAAAGAACAACCATTGGATATTGGTAAAAATTGAGAATATTCATGGACACACATCGTTATATTGGTATTAATTATAGAAAATAAAGTTAGTGATATTTATATATAATATTCATTCGAATTCTATCTTATTATTTACAAGGATTTGTGAGCTCATAGATATTCGTAGTTTTTACACGCACAAAAAAGCCATCATTTTTATTGAAATAACGCATTTATTGATGTATGTAATCAACATTCGATCTTGAAAACGTTGTGCGGATGCTTCTTCTTCATTTGAATCCCGAACACGTGTTGTACACAAAGAAAAAGAAAAAAATACGCACAACTAAAACTTCGATTCTTCAAACATTCGAAAAGATTTCATCAGTCGTGTAAGTTTGTTTTTATAATTAGAGTTTTTATTAATAGTTGACTTGGAACAAAAATTTAAAAAATGTTGAATTTCATTCGAATCTTTTTCATTTAATGGTGCCTAAGGTATGTTTTTATATGTGAGGAGTACAAAATACTTCGAATTGATATTAGTTCTCTAATATTAAGTTATTTCTTTTACAAAATGAAATTTTTGTAAATTGTTCCACAAATGTGTTGGAATTATAAAGTAAAAATAAAAACAAAACTTGATCCTTTTGTTCATTACAAAAAACCAAAGCAATGTAACTTGAATATGCACGGTAAACATTATAGTTCACAATGAACAAACTATAGGAAGTGATATCTATAAGAAATAAAGAAATATCTTTGGATGAAGTTCCATGTTGATAAGTATTTTTGAAATCTTTAAAAAGATAGTAGTGTTTTGTTTCACCAACTAAAACGTAATATATCATCTCGACGAATATTTTATAGAAACATAACCAGTTATCAGTAATAATCATATTTATAATTAGATGTTACTTGAAAATATTCTAATTGATGGTGTGGGTGGGTGTAAGTGAAGAGATAACCAAGATTCACACCCACCCACACCCACACCCACATCCACATCCACACCCACACCCACACCC